AGATTTATAAAAGAGGAATAGGTAACAAACCTTATGACAACACAAGTAAGACCTCTGGGATTTTTCAACACACTAAGGATCAGCCTCAGTGAAGATGCCAAAGTAAAACTTAACTGAATCCAGGTAAAATACTCCGGGAGCAATACGGGGAAGTCCCCGAACATCTGGCAAATGAAAGACTTTCTGCATGAAAGAAAAGTGAAATGTTCTACAGCAATAGAGAAAAGTATAGCCTGATGCTAGGTACCTATATTAAGCTACAGTACATGCAACGTCAAGTCAGGAGTGTTTTCTGTCTCCTTTGAAGATTTTAACATCTGTTGAAAACACATTTCTACATTGTTGTTGTTTGGGGTTGTGGCAAAGCAGGGGTCAGGAACTGCAAACGTCTACTGTAAAAGGGCAATGTACAGTTATTGCCAAAACAACTTGAATTTATGAATAGATTTTTAAAATCTTGTATATGCTCAGATTATGGTAAAAAGGTGAAAATACACTGGAAATGCATGGTTTTAGAGCAAATACAAAAAATGGACAGACACAGAAGTACATAGAAACACATAGAAAAGCAAAAGAGAAATGCTGCAGTCACAGAAACTCCAGAGCAGTAAAGAGCACTACAAATACAACAATTATCCACTTATTTAAAAAACAAGCCTCTTGTGAAATAAAAACCTCAAAAAAAGAAAAAAGTTAAACCTGCAGCTTAAGAACTAGTAAACTGTATAAAGTTTTCCAAAGTGTTTATTCAGAGGATCTGTCTAGATGCAATAGAATGATATATGTAAAAATCTTTGCAGATGTACTTTGTATTGATTTTTTACAAAAAAAACACACACACACAAAAAAAATATATATATAAGCCACTGAGCTATGCAGATGTAAAATTTAATAAATGTTCTAGTAAGTCTTCATTATAACTCACTTCAGCTGTTTTCTGCTCATAAATATTCCTGCCTTAAGAAGAGTGTTGATAAAAGCCAAGGTATTGCTAGATCTCCGCTGTGTTCATTTTCAATCATCTCGTCGTCCATACTACTATGCTAACGCCACCACCACCAAGCTGTAATGATTTGCCGCCAATGAATACCGCCGAATCTGTCGATTCATCTTGTAGTGGTGTGTTAAATGCAACGTAGATTCCCATCCAATTAGATTGAATTTGGTATTGATGACGTGAAAAATAATAACGGTAACTCCATTGAAATGATTCAAAACTAAAGTAACGAGCCAATTTTTTTAAATGTAAGGAGTAGAAAGCACAGATATTTGTGTAAAAATGTAAGGAGTAGAAGTAAAAAGTCGCCATAAAAATAAGTAGTAAAGTAAAGTAAAAATATCAGAAAAATCTACTTGAGTACAGTAACGAAGTATTTGTACTTCGTTACTTCCCATCTCTGTGTAGCTCTAATTGCCTTGCAATCTACTTCACAAGCAAACATTGTTACCTACTGTATTTCCCTCTTAGAAATGATAAAGCTTCTTCCCTCACATCCTTAACATGTGATAACAAAGATGTCTGATTGTACCGTCACACTGCTTCCACTTGGTCACAGACAATGTTGAACACCTTTAGATCTTGAACTGTTTGTAGCCTTGCTTGCGCAATTTTGGTTCCCTTTTCTGCAGCATTTTTATTTACACTTTCCAAAAATTCTTTTGCAAAACCTTTTTGGCTTTATCAATAAATTCCCATCTGTATTTTTTGTAGTCTGTGATAACACCACAGTATTTGGTTTTATAAGGTCCTATCTCTGAACTTGAAAATGATTCTTAATAGAGCTCCAAACTATATCAGATAATTTGGTGATAAAATTTAAACGTTTCTTCATCACTTAGCAAACTGCATGTCTGAGATTGTGAGGTGTGTTTAATGGGTCCAAGAGGGAAAACACAGACATGCATCTCCCTGAAAACATTTTACCATTCTTGAGGATCCAGACATGTTCTTAGGCCTGATGAGATACTGTATAACGTTCCTCCAGAAATTTCTGGTTTTGCCCCAGGGTCTTCTTGCAGAGAATATGTGTAATAAATATGGAAATCACAGTTGCACAACCGCTGCAAAATATCACCTGCAGATCACATTGTTTGAGACTTTGACTAGGAGAGATATAGAGTGCCAATTACCTCATGCTATATAATGTAATGATATAGCAATGTATGCCACTGAAAAGCAGGCCAGACTCTAAACAATGTGGTATTAGAGGTGAATGGTCAAAATATATGTTTGAGTTGCAACCTCTTTAAATAGGAGAATAATATAAAGTTAGAGCAAATATACATCATTTATTACTAATATTTCATCTAATATTAATCAAAACTCAGCTCATAAAATTGGCACAATTCTTGGTTTGGAATGTAAATAGGTTGGGAAAGAATGGGGTCCATATTGGTAAATGGTAGAGTTGACCTTAAATCTTCATTACTGAGTTTCCATGTAGAGATGTAGGCCACTGGACTGACATGGATGGGTAAAAAATATTCACTTTTTTATGTCAAAAAGCCATCAGGTTCATTTTAATTAAATTAAATTAAATGTCATACTTCTACCCAAAGCTCTTACATCATCCATGTGCTCAAGGCTCAAAGATTCAAAGCTCTGCTCTGAATCAGTTGTCAGTGACTAATTTTGTTCATGTAGCCTTAAAATTGTCTCAATTTGACAAGAAATAATTATAATTTGATTAATTGTAGTCTTTACTTATTATCTACTGAATAGATCTGTTAGCCTTATATATTATCTTTCTGACTTAATATTAATTGTTTAGAATTAAACAAAATGTAAACAACTTAAACTGGATCTTTATATAAATTTTAATTCTTTTTAAAATTTAAGTTCTCTGTTTTGCACATTGGAATTCTGTCCATCATGCTGGGCGGATGAACCAGGAAAGATGCCATGTGTTGTTTCCCAAAAGAGCTTTGCAGATCTCCTCTGGAAGTCTGAAGTATTTGCAATGCCACAGTGTGTTTTCCTCTAGCCAAACCTCCCATTGGATGGCATTACTACTAATGCGATAGAAAGGGCCAAACAGATGGAGCTGCAGACTCTTCTGCTTTTTCTGGGGTTATTAAACCAGCTTTATTTGTTTATGTCACAGAAGTGGCTCCATTATAGGGTTAAGTCTAAAATATAATTTCCTTTATGGGTGACGTGTGCCTCACTGTTAACCAAAAGCACAGAGAATAAGATGGAGAGGTAACCTTCAAAGGAAAAAAAAAACAAAAAACATTTGTTTTGCCGGACATTGTTGATTAAAAAAGGTTTAAATTCAGATCCTGACAGAAAGTGGCACTTGCTCTCATTTTGAAATTAAAAATCAAATTATGCAATATATATTTATTTAGTTTTCATAGTGACACAATATAAAATGACCCCACACAGAGGAAGACTGTTTACAAATAGTTTCCAGCTTCAACAATATGATAGGTTACAAATATGAAAGCCATTACAGACAGGAAATATACAAATATTTACATAAAACCGCTCTGCAGTTTGCAGTCTGTCCAGCAAGAATACAAGGCATTTATTTAGTAAATCCCTGATGTTTGCTTGGATTGGAGCACAGCAGATTTGTTAATCATTTAGGATTTTTATTAGAATGTTAAATTCACTAAAATAAAACATATACCTGTGTACAAAAAAAAAAATAATAAAAAAAATGTTCTCCAAAAAGCAAAAGCTAAAAATAATAAAAATTGTTTTTTTTTTTGTGTGTGTCTATTTTACAAATAAGGCAGCATGATAAGGGTTTAACATTTATGGATCTGTGATAAAAATCTTTTATTTAATTGAACGGGCGTATCGGTCCATTGTTGCAATATAGAAGATATACACAGGATCCAAGGGTAGCAATAATTTAAGAAACTGAGGTTTGCGATGTTGTGATACTGCAAGAACTAAACTGCTCAGTTTTTTCATAAGTAAGAAATCTTTTTAAATAATTTGAAGTTAATACAGTACTCCTGGTAAACAGACAAAGAGCTATTGGATGACCTGTAACAGACTACTCTGAAAAACCTTTTATAAAGTTTATTAATGTGAGGATTAGGATTAAATACATTTATTATGTTTAATAAATGTATATTAAACCTAAAACAATAGATGCACCAATCAGATACCTGGATCTGATATCAGCTCCACTATTGACTAATTAGCCGAATCAGACATTGGCGATTTAATATTGATAGTGCATTTATAGATGTGTTCATTTGTTACCTTTTTATCGATGTTTATGTCAAGGCTACAGCATTCACTCACGCAGCAAGATATATGGTTCATCGTTTCAACAGTTGAATCAGATTGGCATCGGATATCGGCTGATGAGCTAAGCCCAGGTACCGATGTCAGATTGGAAAAAAACTGGAACGGTGCATTTCACCCGACAACAGTCAAATAGACATTATTAGTGGCCTCGCTCCATATTCTTTCAATATTTTAAACCAGAATGAAACAGATTTTGAATATCCTGAATATGTGGTGGAAAAACTGACAAATCCTCCATTGGACTTGGAAAAAATAGACATTACTATGGATCCAAATAGGTTTGTAATATAATATCAGTTAAAAACACTTTGCTTTTTATACTAACATGAACAGTGCTTTCTTTTAAACCTCCAAAACCAAATTAAACCAGAAATTTGTATGCACCATACAAAACACAATCCATTCTTTATTTTATTCTGACTTTAAATGACAAAAAGCTTTTGCTGTTCAGGTTCGTTTGTATTAGGTTAGAAATGTGTATTAATTAGAGAATATTTGTTTGAATATTTTTTTTTCTGATTTTGAAGAATACTTGAAGGAAATTCTGTTAATTTATACAAACAGACATATTCTTCTTATGCACTTATGAAACTTTTAAACTCTGTCCATGAAATAAAATATATAAAATATAAGAGATTAAGGTTAGGATTTTATGATAGTCAGTGACTTGTTTTTATCTATGAGGAGCTTTGTCAATAATTTAGTTTGAAAATGCTTGTTAATTTGGATGATTCATGTGGAAATATGTTTTAACTTCCCAGCTGAAGTCTTCTTGTCACCCCAATATTCCCCTACTGCTTTCTTTCTGTTTTATACTGTAAAGCACCTACACAGCAGGATATTGCCACTGCTGTGCTGAAATGATGTTTCCAATAAACACACTGTCAAAATTATGCACAATTAATTTGATTTCCTTTGGCACAAAATATGCAATAAGAACTTTTGAAAACACATTATCTAATCATTTTCATTAACCCCCATAGCAGGGTCCATTTCTGAAGGCCACAATGAAACACTAAAGTCATTCCAGAAGCTCAACAGAACTTAGGTTTAGGTTTTATACGTCCTAAAAGAAGATTTCATAGTGGGTTTAAAAGCTGTGATTTCAGGTTAACCAATAGCATCACACAAAAATAGAAAAAATGTGATTTAAGCACCAAGGAAAGATGTCTGTCTTTTTCAAATACTGCTTAATGCTACCACCATTTTTTAGTCCCTTTTATTTTTAAACCCCCGTTATTAAAAACAGCATTTTTATCCTCTCAAGGGTGAAAGGAATATTTAATAGCACCACTTTTTCAATGTCCTCTACTAAAATAAATTCAATCCTTTTAATAAAAAGTATGCATTTTCAGAAAGAAAATGGTGAATAACCCAACCTCTATGGCATTTCCATTTTGTTCCAGTTTTACTGCATGCTTGGTGCTACAAGGTATCCATTAAATGTTATGTAAACATCCACATCATCGCTGTAAATGGCGTTCTCCCTCTCCCGTTTGTAGAGCCGGACCCAGACCTCATCATTCAGAGCCAGATCCAACATTACGCTCTGACTCTGCATGATAGACCTCTCACTAGGCTGAGCGTAAAGGATCACTTTCTCTTTATCGTTGTGCATAAGGTGCAGGTAGGTCTCCTTGAAGTTCCAGGTGTGGATATTGATGTTAAAGAAGTAGATCCCTGGCACATAGCAGTAGAATTTGCCTTTGAACATGTTGAAATGCTCATAGATATTAACAAACACGGTGTCGAAGATCAGAGCCTGGTAATAGTCCACACTGTGCAGAGACTTGCGACGCCCCACGGAGAAGGAAGACTGAGGGATCTTGCAGGCGTCTCCGGGAGCACCTGCCTGGCCTTTGCTGCCTTTCGGCCCCATGGGTCCTCGCTGTCCAGGGGGCCCCTCCAGACCTGGTTTCCCATGTGTGCCTTTGTCTCCTCTGTCACCTTTGTCACCTGAAGAAACAGGATAAGGCAAAAATTCAAGGTATTGGCCATCAATAAAAAAATGAACAGAATCGGGTAACAGAGCTTTTATTTAAACCTACAAATCATTAGCGGTTGTAATAGTTATACTTGTGCTTATACTCATTAAACTTGAAATAATCATTAACCATTCTGTCTTTCTTTAGCTTTAATGAGAAACCACAAGTGTTCAGTTTGTGATTAAGGTTTTAAAGAGCAAACTATAATGTTTTTGTTCTTTGGTACATTCAGGAAAAAAACATCCCAAGATGGTCTTTGTTAATTTAAGGTATTACTTACTGTGAGAGCCTGGGAAGAAAAAAAGACAAAGACAAATATAATAATAAAAAATAATAATAATATTACAATTCAGTAGAGAGAATCACCCAAGATAAACTATTTCTTTGTGTGTTGTTTTTTTAATGTTTTCTCAATGTATATAATACACATTATATACATATATATATATATATATATATTATATATATATAAAACAGCTTAAGTGCCTTATATCATTGCAATATGTGATTAAATCATATATTTTGGATCAATATGATGTTGAAACCAAATTTGTCAAACCCAATATTGACCTTTTTTCAGGTGATCTAGAAACCACTAAAACATTTTTTTTTTTATTACATGCCTGAAGCTATTTCAAAGAGTTTCACTCTAACATAGGCCTTCGGAAGGAAAAACAGGGCAGAAAAACCCACAGCATCACTGATCCATCACCATACTTATTAGTGGACTTCGGGTTTTACACTTTTATTTAAAACTAACTTTTCAGCTAAACGCCAGTTCTTCTAGATTTTATTTCAAAATGTTATATTAATGTGTTGGTGAAATAATATTTTTCTAAAGCTGAAAAAAGCAGGATTTTAATCAAACTATAAAGAGTAAATGCATAAGGGAGATTTAGAAACCTAGTTACTTGTTCAATTCATTTCTAAATAATAAACTCTGATCAGCTCAAAAGTACATTTCAATTGTTCTGTAATTGTTCTGCATACCATCTGTTTCGACCATGAGAACATTTCCTTGCTCCATCACTAATGCATACCCTCTGCATCTTAATTTCTCCCTTTGGGGCCTTAACCTTTCACATTTGAGCCCAACCTGGCCTCTGGATTATTCACTTACATCTGGAAACAGCCAGGCCAAGGCTCCAGTCATGCCAAAAAACTACTCTTGTAGACCAATCTTCAATGAACTGACTAACCTTACCTGAAAACACCTTGTGCATCTAGAAGCTAACAGTTGCAATGATATAACCATTCCTTTAACATTAATAAAGATTATACTAAATACTAAAATGTACTGCACCTATAATAGGTAGCACAGTGTTATGAAAAACTGAAAAAAAATAAAAAACGGTGAAAAGTATTTTATTTAAAGTTGAATATAGAAAACACTGCTTTCTTTGTCTGCTGATGGACACCTCCGTCCCATCACTCCCCAAAAGAATCAGATTTAGTATAGATTGCACTCTAAACAGCTGGATCTATCTCTACCAGCCCCTCTGAACATCAGCTTGACCACAAAGTGATCATAATTAGTTTAAACTCCTCTGCTTGAGTTTCCTGCTAACCATCTGACACACCATTCTCCTAAATCCTTCGAGAACTTTGATTTTGGTTTCTAGCATAATGAACATCCATCTAATTTTTCCAAGCTTCAAAGTCGTTTTCTCCAAAACAAATGTTAAAATATTAGCTATGCATTAAGTGCACTTCATATCAAGTTTAAAGAAATCATTTTATGAACATTAAGATTTACTGATACTAACATGGTTATATGTTTAAACAAGAGTTGATTCTATTTGTTTTTTCGAAGAAAAAATGTATAAATCTTCACATCTAGAGCTTCTATGAATGTTTTATGATGATTTCAAGGTGATTGAAAACTTCTATGACAGTGTTCACAAAAAACGTATTGAACGGGGTTGATTTTAAAATTGGTTGCATGTTGTTTATATCAGTGAAGCATTTAATTTCCTTTTCCACAGCATGTCTCCCTCTTATCCCACTCCCACTTAACCATCAATGCACAGTTACACTTGGCAACCCAGTTCAAGCATGATGCTCTTCTGATGAAGCACTTCTATACTGAGGCTCCCAGACATCTGTTCCAAGTAGAAGCAGTGATTTAAAGAGGAAGCACAGGATGGTGAGATAGTCACAGAGATACAGGGCTTAGATGATACAGTAAAGCACCATGTAAACTCACATCAACTCCGCATTCTTTTCTAAATTTAATTTGAATATTATAAAAATGTTGAAGATATATGAAATTTCAACATTATTTTGCAGCATTTAACACGGCGTGGAATGAAAACTGTCAAGAAATAAACCAACCAAATTTGTTGTACCTTTAAGAATGGTCATGTTGATGACCGTTTTGACTTCAGGCATCTGATAATGTGCTGTGGTGGCTGGAGGATCCAGCTGGTCGCAGCATCGTCTGCAGAGTCTGGATGGAGGTCTGGATGGAGGGGGGACGCAGCAAACCAAGGAAACGAGAAACAGCAGACTCAAGTATGCAGTCAACATAGCTTCCATCACCTAAAGCAGAAAGAAGAACAAGGTAAACAGACTCATTTAAAAACACTAAGAAGAATCATACACATTTTTTTCTAATAATTTCGTTATTCATTTTATTTTTTCAAGACATAGGTGGAGCATGAAGCGAAAGCTGAAGCAGGATTTTTGCTGTTTTTACAGTTTGTTAGATTACGCCATTCCTGTGGAATTCTGGTCAAATACAACAAAAAACAAAAAAAATATCCTTCCAGGCAAGTAATTCCCAGACACTACATCCCAACTTTATGACTCTCTCTATAACTCTTCACAGTTAATGGACTCCTGGAACACGCTGTACATCCTAGACACACAGGATAAAGAACAGATTTGTTATTTAGCCACGGATTTAGTCTTCAATACATAAAAGCAGAGCAAATCCTAAAATCTCCATGACTTGATTCTTGGGCCATTGGAGGTTTTAGACCAAAAAGGATGAGACAAACTTTTGGTCTAAAACAAACAAAAACACTGGACTACTGTTCTAAGATGTACAAGGATATTCTAGCTTCAAATGGAAGCTAAAACATAACTGGGAATTTGAGCATCTGATTTGCTTCCACAAACATTTCCAGAGAAAATAGTGTACTAGCTTAGCCAATGGATTTCTGTGGATATTTTTTCTGATTCAGTTTAACAATCCAATTTATTTGAATAAAAATGTGTCAAGAATGCCAGTGTTTTCCCAGGCATGCAATTGCAAACATTCATATTCATCAAAAAAATCTTGCCATTTTTTTCTACATCTTTTCTTTATTTATTGAAGTCAACTCATGTGGGCTGCATGCTTGCAACAAATCAGTTCAGTAGAGGTCAGCAATAGTCATTCTAAGCTTTGTGCATTTTATAAAATGAATGGCCACAAGTGAGCTTATATTAAAGAAGCCACAACTAATATAATTTGTATTTTGCCAGGTTGGGATTGCAGCAACATGTGCTTAAGCCAGATGAGACCTATGAGGGAGTTACCCCCTCACTAACAGCCTGCATACAGGCATTTTCTTTCTCTTAAAATAAGTATTTGGGGAAGGTTTAAACCTTGAGATTAATTGATTAATGTTAGACTTGTTTTTCTCATTTTAACACTTTTGGCTTTTTCACATGTTCTTTCCACCTCTTAATCAGAAATGGTTTAGTCAAATGCTTTAAAATGCTGGCTTGTCAAAGAAGGTGTCTTCTGTGATTGAGGGAAGTGGAATCAATGCCCTTTTACATCAAAATGTAAGAACGTTTTTGTGTTTTCCTAAAAAAAAAAAAAAAAAAAAAAATT